TTTTTCTTACTGGTTTGTAGGTGCTCTTTATGCATTTTGGAGAATAACATTTTTTCTTCTAGATGTTTTGCAAATATCTCCTTTCCCTCTGTCAACTTCTTTTCACTTTATGGTATTTTCTGGTAAAGAGGATCACTTAATTTTAATGCACTCAAATTCTTTAATCCTTTCTTTTATTGTTAATTTTCTGTGTTTCTTTTTAAAGAACTCTTTATTTGGCGTTAAGTACTGGGGTTTGAACTCAGGGCCTTACACTTGCTGAGCAGGTGCTCTACCATTTGAGCCATTCCATGAGCCCCTCATTCATAAATTTTTAAAGAATAGCTTCCAAGTATATAAAATAAAGAAGTTAAAAATTGAGATTGTAATCCCACTTCTGAAAGTGACCAATTATACAACATTGACAAGTTATACAATGCGTTTCCATGATGATTTACAATCTGACTGATATGAGATGGAATCTTAGTGTAGTCTTATTTGCATTTCCTTTATGGCTAAGGATATAGAACATTGCTTCATGTATTTATTAGTCATTTGTATTTCTTCTGAGAGTCCTCTATTCAATTCATTTGTCCTTATTAATTGGATTATTTGTCCTTTTGCTGTTTAGCTTTTTTGAGGTGAGTGGTACAGTACTGGAGTTTGAACTCAGGACTTCATGCTTGCAAGGCAGGCACTCTACCACTTGAGCCACTCTGCCAGCCTGTTTTGTGTTGGGTATTTTCAAGATAGGATTTCTCCAACTATTTGCCCAGGCTGGCTTCGAAATGTAATTCTCCTGATCTCTGCCTCCCAAGTGGCTAGGATTACAGGCATAAGTCACCAATGCCCAACCCTTATAGAACTTTTATTTTTCAGTCTTTCGAATTTATATCTTTAGTCTCCCTGGCAATTATTTTGTGTATATTATGAAGTAAGGGTCCAATTTCATTTTTTCAGGTATATACTGACAATTACACCAGCATCACTTGTTAAAAGGATCATCCTTTCTCCACTGCTCTGTAGTGCCATCTTTGTTATACAGCATGTACATACGTAACAGTTTGTTTCTGAAAAGTTGCTCCAATGGTTTGTCTTTCATTGCACTGTAAACACTATAGATAAATATAGCTTTATGACAAGTATTGATATCTGATAGAGCAAATCCATTCACCTTGTCCTTCAAGAGTATCTTGGCTAACTTTGGCTTTGTGGAGATAGATAGATAGATAGATAGATAGATAGATAGATAGATAGATGATAGACATACAAAGTTTCTTTATACATATTGCAAAATAGATGTTTTTAATTATACAAAGTAATAGGGTTCATTTTGACATTTTCATACAAGCATACAATGTACTTTGATCATATTCACCCCTTCTATTAGTTTCTTATCCCCCCCTTCCCCATCTCCTTACCCCTTCTGTATCCCAAATAGTCCCCCATTACTTTCATATCCTTTTTTCCCTCTAAATTACACATATGAGAGAAAACATTTGAAGCTTGTCCCTGAAGATGGCTTATTTAGCTTAAAATGATGTTCCCTGGTTGCATCCATTTTCCTATAAACAACATAATTTCATTCTTCTTTATGACTGAATAATATTCCATTATGTGTAAATATACCTAGTATGTAAATGTTATTTGTTTTTTGTTTCAAGGCTTTCTAACATTGTATTATGAATTTTTCAAACATACAGAAAAGGTAAAATAATTTTATTGTGAAAAAACACAGACTCACCACCTAGACTTCATCATTAATGTTTTACTGTACTTACTTTATCATGTATCTAGCCATCTCCATCCCTCTATCTATCCATTCATGCATGTTACTTTTGGTGGGTTTCAAAGTAAGTTGCAGACATCAGTATGCTTACCCCTAAATTTTCAACATGCTATTCTTTCTTTTTCCACTTTCCTTTTTCTAACTGCTTATTGCAATTGTGTGGAAATAAAATTGAATCCTGCATGTAGTTCTAGCCCAAACTCTAGTTGAATTGTCATTAATTCTAATCATTGATCGGATATACTTTTGGAATGTCTGTATACACAGTCATCTCACATGCACATAATAAAAATTCAGGTTTATCTTCTCAAAACGATACACTATTTTTGCTCTTATACTATTTTTATTCCTAATTTGCTATTAGCTTTATCATGAATGGATATTGAATTTAATAATTTTTTTGCATTTTCTGAGGTTGCCATATTATTCTCTGTTAATATGTTCCAATGGCCTATTAAAACAATTGGTTTTATAATGTTAAAACATTCTTGCATTCCTAGGAATACACCAGCCTTATTCCAGATATATTATCCTTTCCATTTACTGCTGAACATGATTTGCTAAAATTTGATTTAGAATTTTTGCATCTATGCAAATGAGATTGATGTGTCATTTGCCTTTCTCAAACTTCTTGCATTCTGGTACCAAGATTATCAAAGCCACATAAAATGAGTGTAGGAACATCCTACCAATTTCTAGCCTCTGGAAGAAATTGGAGCTATTTCTTCTTCAAGTGTTAGTATAACACAACTGTAAAGATATCTAAATCTGAAACCTTAATTATATTTGAATTTCTATTTTTATGCACCAATTTTGATATTATGTTTTCAGTGAATTTATACATTTTACCCATTCTCCTTTGAAAGATAAGTTTTAAAAGGTGAACAAAGCATATGAAAAGACATGTTTCAAACCATCAAGGAGATTCCAAGATGGCGACTAGAGGGAGGAAGCAGAAAGCATTCCTCCTAAAGTAAAGTCTTGGAGAGATGCCGGAGATACACCTTACGGGAAAAACCATGAAGAAGAGGCAAAACTTTGACTCCTCCACACCCCCACCCTGCGCATAGCATTCCCACTCCACGTTAAACGGAGAAACCAGGAGGGCTCCCATGCCACTGCCAGACGGCAGCACCCAAATGGCTTGGGAAGACGCAGACCACAAGGTGAACTAAGCAGCACGTGGTACTCCCACAGACAATCCTGGGCCAGATCAGCATAGCCCCCTGGACAGACCGCCCCCCACCCAGGGAAAAAAGAAAAAAAACTGAATAATAAGCAACAACAACAACAAAAAAGACACATAGCAAAGAGGGCAGGGCACCCTGAGCGCCAAAGAGAGGGGGAGGGGAAATCCCTCACAGAACTGTAAATAAACAGGCAGGAGTGGAGGACCCCACCCAGCAAACTCGGAGCGGGAAAGCTTGTAAAAGTGGCTGTGTGAGGACAGCTACACAGGAGAGGGGGGAAAGGACACTTCCCACGTGAACTGTAAATAAATAAGCCAGCCAGAGAAGGCAGGAGCGGTGGCACACACCCAGCAACCAGGAGTGGGAAAGCTTGTAAAAGTGGTGGTGAGAGGAAAACTCCACAGGAGAGGGGGGAAGACCCACTTCCCACATGAACTGTAAATAAACATGCAGACCTGAGAAAGCGGGTGCAGTGTCACCTCCCCCAGTGTGTTTGGAAAGGGGAAAGCTTGTAGGAGTGGCATTGCGCCCAGGAGAACTCTGAGTAAACAAAACCTGCTGGGCTAGGTGAGTGTTAAGCTCACTCCTGAGATCTGCATAAATAAAGCCTCCAGCAACAGCAGGCTGACAGCAGCGGGCAGGCAAGCCACAGCCGCAGATAGCCATTCACAGAACAGTCTCCAGACTCTTTTTTGCTCTCTCCCTACCTTTGATGAGACAATAACTGAACTACACCTGCATGCTGAAAAACTTACTGAAACTGTATTGAATTAGAACTTGGGACACTTTGGGTTTTTTTGTTTGTTTGTTTTGTGCTGTTTTGTTTTATTTTGTTTTTGTTCCCCTTTGAGGAGATAACGATAGAACTACTTCTGAGACACCATCTCCAGGATTAGAGGCTGAGGGATGAACACCAAAATTATTAAGACTGAAACTTTATTGCATTTGAACTTAGAGGTTTTTTTATATATTTTTTATTTTTTATTTTTATTCTTTTTTCATCCAAATTCTACACAAAATACATTCTTCTTAGCAGCCCATGGAACCTTCTCCAAAATAGACCATATCCTAGGGCATAAAGCAAGCCTCAGTAAATATAAGAAAATAGAAATCATACCATGCATTCTATCTGATCACAATGCAATAAAACTAGAACTCAACAACAAACATAAAGGCAAAGCAAACAGCTGGAAATTGAATAACTCATTACTTAATGAACAATGGGTCATTGATGAAATAAAAGAGGAAATTTAAAAGTTCCTGGAAGTCAATGAAAATGAAAACACAACCTACCGGAACTATGGGACACAGCAAAGGCAGTCCTGAGAGGAAAGTTTATAGCCATGAGCGCATATATTAAAAAGACTGGAAAATAGCAAATCAATGACCTAATGACACATCTCAAACTCCTAGAAAAACAGGAACAAGCAAATCCCAAAACAAACAGAAGGAGAGAAATAATAAAAATAAGAGATGAAATCAATGAAATAGAAACCAAAAAAAAAAAAAAATACAGGGCAGAGAAATGACCCAAGCCTTGTATGCACATATGAATAATAAAACAATAAAAAAAAAGAAACCAAAAAAACCATACAAAGAATTAATGAAACAAAAAGTTGGTTCTTTAAAAATAAACAATATTAACAGACCCCTGGCAAACCTGACTAAAATGAGGAGAGGAAAAAAACCCAAATTAGTAGAATCAGGGAATGCAAAAGGGGAGATAAAAACAAACACCATGGAAGTCCAGAAAATCATCAGAGATTACTTTGAGAAACTATATTCAAATAAATTCAAAAATATTAAAGAAATGGACAGATTTCTAGATACATATGATCATTCAAAAGTAAACCAAGCAGATATTAATCACCAGAATAGATCTATAACACAAAATGAAATTGAAGCAGCAGTCAAGAGTTTCCCCAAAAAGAAAAGTCCAGGACCTGATGGATTCTCTGCTGAATTCTATCAGACCTTAAAGAAGAACTGATACCAATCCTCCTTAAACTGTTCCACAAAATAGAAAGGGAAGGAAAGCTCTTCTCCTTCCGGCTCCCGGCGCTTGTGGAGCCGCGGGTTACGGTGCAGACATGGCCAAGTCCAAGAACCATACCACTCACAACCAGTCCAGAAAATGGCACAGAAATGGCATCAAGAAACCCCGATCACAAAGATATGAATCTCTTAAGGGGGTAGACCCTAAGTTCCTGAGGAACATGCGTTTCGCTAAGAAGCACAACAAGAAGGGCCTGAAGAAGATGCAGGCGAACAATGCCAAGGCCGTGAGTGAACGCGCCGAGGCTATCAAGGCCCTTGTAAAGCCCAAAGAGGCCAAAAAACACAGGATCCCAAAGGGTGCCAACCGCAAGCTCGAGCGACTTGCCTTCATTGCCCATTCCAAGCTGGGGAAGCGAATTCGTACCTATATGGCCAGGGGTCGCAGGCTTTGCCGGCCCAAGGCCAAAGCCAAGGCCAAGGCCAAGGCCAAGGCCCAGGCTGCAGCTCCAGCTTCCACTCTGGCAAAAGCTCCTACCCAGGCACAAGCTCCCAAAGGTGCCCAAGCCCCTGTGAAGGCCCCATAGTAAAGGCCTCTGTCTGCCATTGTGAGGACAAGTGGACTAATGGGACCCCCCTGGCTGTCATCTGCAGGGTGGCTGGTGTCTATGCTGTTTCTACAAATAAATCTGAAGCAGGAAAAAAAAAAAGAAAGGGAAGGAAAATTGCTTAAAAAATTTTATGAAGCCAGTATTACACTTATCCCCAGGCAAAGACTCCTCCAAAAAGGAGAACTATAGGCCAATCTCCTTAAAGAACATTGATGCAAAAATTCTCAATAAAATAATGGCAAACCGAATTCAACAACACATTGAAAAGATTATTCATCACGACCAAGTAGGCTTCATCGCAGGAATGCAGGGGTGGTACAACATATGAAAATCATTAAATGTAATAAACCACATTAACAGAAGCAAAGACAAAAACCACTTGATCATCTCGATAGATGCAGAAAAGTCTTTGATAAGATCCAACACCATTTCATGATAAAAGCTCTAAGAAAACTAGGAATAGAAGGAAAGTACCTCAACATTATAAAAGCTATATATGACAAACCTACAGCCAGCATTATACTTAACAGTGAAAAACTGAAACCATTCCAACTAAAATCAGGAACTAGACGAGGATGCCAACTATCTCCACTCCTATCCAACATAGCGCTGGAATTCCTAACCAGAGCAATTAGGCAAGAAGAAGGAATAAAAGGAATACAAACAGGTAAAGAAACTGTCAAAATATCCTTATTTGCAGACGATATGATCCTATACCCTAAAGACCCAACAAACTCTACTCAAAAGCTCCTAGACACCATCAATAGCTATAGCAAGGTAGCAGGATGTGAAATGAATATAGAAAAATCATTAGCATTTCTATACACTAATAATGAACAAACCGAGAAAGAATATATGAAAACAATTCCATTTACAATAGCCTCAAAAAAAAAATCAAATATCTAGGTGTAAACTTAGCAAAGGATGTGAACGACCTCTACAAGGAAAACTATAAACTTCTGAAGAAAGAGATTGAGGAAGACTATAGAAAGTGGAGAGATCTCCCATGCTCATGGATTGGTAGAATCAACATGGCAAAAATGTCTATACTCCCAAAAGTAATCTACATGTTTAATGCACTTCCTATCAAAATTCCAATGACATTCATTAAAGAGATCGAAAAATCTACCATTAAATTTCTATGGAAACACGAGAGGCCACGAATAGCCCAGGCAATACTCAGTGAAATGAACAATGCTGGAGGTATCACGATACCCAACTTCAAACTATGTTACAAAGCAATAACAATAAAAACAGCATGGTACTGGCACAAAAACAGACATGAAGACCAGTGGAACAGAATAGAGGACCCAGATATGAAGCCACACAACTATGACCAACTTGTCTTTGACAAAGGGGCTAAAAATATACGATGGAGAAATAGCCTCTTCAACAAAAACTGCTGGGAAAACTGGTTAGCAGTTTGCAAAAAACTGAAACTAGATCCATGTATGTCACCCTATACCAATATTAACTCAAAATGGATCAAGGATCTTAATATCAGACCCCAAACTCTAAAGTTGGTACAGGAAAGAGTTGGTACTGGAATTAATAGGTATAGGCAAAGACTTTCTCAATGAAACCCCAGCAGCACAGCAACTAAGAGATATCATAGATAAATGGGACTTCATAAAACTAAAAACCTTCTGCTCAACAAAAGAAATGGTCTCTAAACTGAAAGGCCACCCACAGAGTGGGAGAAAATATTTGCCAGCTACACATCAGACAAAGGACTGATAACCAGAATATAGGGAACTTAAAAAGCTAAATCCTCCCAAAACTAATGAACCAATAAAGAAATGGGCAAGTGAACTAAACAGAACCTTCTCAAACGAAGGAATTCAAATGGCCAAAAAACACATGAAAAAATGCTCACCATCTCTAGCAATAAAGGAAATGCAAATCAAAACCACACTAAGATTCCACCTCCCCACTGTTTGATTAGCCATCATTACCAACACCACGAACAACAGGTGTTGGCGAGGATGTGGGGAAAAAGGAACCCTCTTACACTGCTGGTGGGAATGTAAACTAGTACAACCACTCTGGAAAAAATGTGAAGGCTTCTTAAAAAGCTAAACATTGATCTACCATTGATCCAGCAATACCACTCTTGGGGATATACCCAAAACTGTGACACAGGTTACTCCAGAGGCACCTGCACACCCTTGTTTATTGCTGCACTATTCACAATAGCCAAGTTATGGAAACTGCCAAGATGCCCCACCACTGCCGAATGGATTAAGAAAATGTGGTATCTATACACAATGGAATTTTATGCAGCCATGAAGAAGAACAAATGTTATCATTCGCTGGTAAATGGATGGAATTGGAGAACATCATTCTGAGTGAGGTTAGCCTGGCCCAAAAGACCAAAAATCTATGTTCTCCTCATATGTGGACATTAGATCAAGGGCAAACACAACAAGGGGATTGGACTTTGATCACATGATAAAGCGAGAAGCACACAAGGGAGGGTGAGGATAGGTAAGACACCTAAAAAACTAGACAGCATTTGTTGCCCTCAATGCAGAGAAACTAAAGCAGATACTTTAAAGCAACTGAGGCCAATAGGAAGAAGGGGACCAGGAACTAGAGAAAAGGTTAGTTCAAGAAGAATTAACTTAGAAGGTAACACACATGCACAGGAAAGCAATGCAAGTCAACTCCCTGTACAGCTATCCTTATCTCAAGTAGCAAAAAACCTCAGTCCTTCCTATTATTGCTTATACTCTCTCTTCAACAAAATTAGAGATAAGGGCAAAATAGTTTCTGCCTGGTAGTGAGGGATAAGGGAGTGGTAAAGGAGGGGGCAGGGGGAAGGGGGGAGAAAGGACCCAAACATTGTATGCACATATGAATAAAATAAAATTAAAAAAAAAAACCATCAAATTGACCTCAAGTTGTTGATTTAAGATACAGGTAGTAATTAAATAATAAGATGGGCTTGCCAGGTGCCTGTGGCTCATGCCTGTAATCCTAGCATTCAGGAGGCAAAGATCAGGAAGACTGCGGGTTCAAGGCCAGCCAAGGCAAATAGTTGACAAGACCCTATCTTGACAAAACCCATCACAAAAAAGGGCTGGTAGAGTGGCTTAAGGTTTAGACACTGAGTTCAAATCCCAGTACCACAAAAAAAAAAAAAAAAAGAAAGAAAAGAGGGGCTGGCAGAGTGGCTCAATCAGTAAGAGTGCCTGCCTGGTAAGCATGAGGCCTGAGTTTAAACCCCAGTGCCATCAAAAAAAAATCAAATTAAATAAATAAGAGGACATCATGACCAACTTTATTTTTATCCTGAATCTTGAACCGATAAATTGCTCATATAGTGGTTTTAAACATATTTTTTATATACTTTGTCAAACTTTTACATTTATGTTTTGAAGGAAGGTTGGTCTGAAATCACTGGTCTGCCTTTATCTGATTTGAAAGAGCTTAAGCAGCTCTTTTTTTTTTTTTCTCAGTATATACCCTCCTGATGTCTCCCTCCTGTGTAGCTAAGATTATGGGCATGAGCCACCTACGCCTGGCTTAAGCAGCACTTCCTGACGGTTTCAGGTGTTTCAAAGTTATACAAAATCAGGCCGGTGGAAAAATCAGGAGTGGTATCTTGGGCACTCCTTGCTTCCTAACTCAGGACTCATTAGTCCTTTTGTTATCAAGGTATTCATAGAAATGCATCTTTTAGGGCATACTCGTAACCAAAGATATCAGCCTGAGGGCTGTGCCACATCAGACCCCAAAGAGCAGGCCTGAGGACTGAAAACCTCAACACCCCAGGATCCCATAATGCACAAGGGTTTGGCATTTGGGAAACTCCTCCCTAATTCTTCCCTTCCTTCCCCTCCTGAGCTCAAAGTTCTCCCATTCTTAGCTGTTCCCCATTCAGGAGTAATTTCCCACACTCACCCTGATACTCTGTCTTTGGGATGTAGGCCCTCTTCCCACAGGGCAATGAAGTCCTCACTCCCCAGTCTTTTCTTGAGTCCTGCACAGTCAGCCATTATGGCTTCCAGTGGTTACCAGTGAATTTCTCCCTTGCCAGAAAGGGGGTGGGGGGAGAGAGGTGAGTTTTGTCCCATTACTGAGAATAGAAAAAATGTATGCTTCTATCCTGTTTCAAAGCTCTTCCTCCCAGCAAGCACCTAAAAATTAAACACACCTCCACTTTACTTCACAGAAAGCCTTTGAACTATAGCATCTTCAGCATCCTAACTTCTCAGGTGAGTTTTTTTTTTCCTTGATTTTTGAGAGAGGGCCTGGAACTTGCTAAGTAGCCCAGGATGGCTTTGAATCCTGCTCCTCCTGCCTCTACCTCCCAAGAGCTGGGATTACAGGCATATACCACTATATCCAGCTATAGGTGAGGGTTTATATCTACAAGCAGTGATAGCTACAGCAGCCAACTCCTATGCAACTCTTGCCTCTTACAGAGTTCATATGTATATCACACAGTGAGTTAGGAGAGACCTTACTCAGACCTGAGTCCATGCCCACAAAATGGCTCAGAATATAAGGAGATGCCACATGCCCGGGCTCATCCCTATATCCAATCACAGCTCTGTATGTAGAGGTGAGCCACAATCCCCAGGGCCAATACAGGCACCATCTGGACACAGTCTCCCACTCTGGTCTCTATATGCCAAGGAGGCCATGGGAAAATCAACCCTGGGGCCCAAACACACATTCTTGCTGTCACATCGCAAACTATGTGATGGACCCTATTAAGAATACAGTCCAGTGGGTACTGGTGGCTCTTGCCTGTAATCCTAGTTACTCAGGAGGGAGAGATCAAGAGGATTGCGGTTTGAAGCCAGCCTGGGCAAATAGTTCGCAAGACCCTATCTTGAAAAAAAACAAAAAAGGGCTGGTGGAGTGGCTCAAGGTGTAGGCCCTGAGTTCAGCCCCAGTACTGCAAAAACAAAAGAACACAGTCCAAGAAACATCCACTGTCCAGCACAGCCAAGCCAAATGCAGCCCAGCTCCATAGAGAACCATTCACAGGCCAAGCACCATTACAGAATATGGTCATCTCCAAGCGGACCCATCCTTCAGCCCTCACTGGTCACATAACAAGAAATACTCTGAG